CCCTCCTTGGGCCTGTGGTTAGCCCCGGTGCCCTTCGCCACGGTCATCGTCGTCAGCCTGGTGATGCTGAGGAAGCGGCAGTACGGCACCATCAGCCACGGGGTCGTGGAGGTGAGGCGGGGCTGGAGGGGAGGCGGGCCAGAGGGCGGCAGCGGCCAGTCGCTCTCAGGTTATGGGGACACACTCCGCAAGTTGGGCACAGTCGAACAGTGTCCCTCTCCTCGGGTCCAGACGCTGTTGGCACCTTGCAGCAGTGACGCGGACCAGGCCATGAGTGCCCGAGGCGGAGGGCGTTTTAAAGAAGTATTTAATTTTGTTACAGTTTTCCATTCACTATAGGGCATTTCACACCAGCGGTTAGTTCCTTTTCCAGATGTGTTCGATACTGAACAGGAGCTGCTTTTGCTCCTCTTCAAAAAAACAGGCGGAAAGGGCCGAGGTGCCGAGCAGGCCACTCCGTCTGTGACGGGAGCTTGTGCCTGCGCTCCTCAGTGGCTGCTGGGAGTGCGAGGCTGTGATGGAGAGCACCCTGGGAGGCAATCACGGGCCCGAGCCGCCCGGTTCTCTCTCCTGCCGGAGACCGCCTCGCTAGGCCTTGCCTGGTGAGGGTGGGTGGCTTGCCTCAACGCCCACGAGGAGTCAGGAGCAGGGCTGAGCAGCTGTCACCTGTCACCGTGCTGCCAGGAAGTCCTGCCTGTCCTCTGCCACCGGGCTGTCAGGACCCTCACCCCAGAAGCACCCCTCTCCACCTGTGCCTTCTGTTCTCCTGTGTCCTCTCCCAGCCTCCCAGCTCCTCTCAGTTTCCCAGGAACCATGACGCTGGGCCGCCCCTGGTCCCCGGGGTCCTGCCGCAGCCACTCGGGCATCTCAAAACCTGGCCGGCTTGTGTCCGAAACCCTGCGTGACCTCACGCGTTGTCCTTCCAGGTCGACCCCATGCTCACCCCAGAAGAACGCCACCTGAACAAGATGCAGAACCACGGCTACGAGAACCCCACCTACAAGTACCTGGAGCAGATGCAGATCTGAGTGACGGGCCGCGCCGGCGGAGTGGGCGGCGGCACCGGGGCCGGAGGGGGCGGCAGCACCGGGTCGGGCCGCAGAGGCACTGTCGCCACTGGAGGTGTCGCCTCCCGCCGGGCCCTCCTGGTGCACTGAGACTATCAAGTACTACTGTAGAGTTGCCATTTCCATTCTTTTAAATGGGTGAAGATGCTAATATAACATATATGATATATAAACCGTAAAGAAAGAAATGATCTATTGCAGATATCTGACTGATGTAGTTTCTTTTTTAAGTGACCCCGAGATCCCACTTCTGTAACGCCCCTCACGCCCGCGGTGGAATGTCGGTTCGGGTGAGGGCTGTGTGCCGGCCGCCCGACCTGGCACATTGTACGCGTCGACCCTTTAGGCTTCGTCGCTGACCTAGTTTTATTTGGAAAAGGTAGAAGAGAAGGCAGTATTCCTGTTCCCCTTCCACATGAGGAACTGAGCCGGAGGGGACCCGAGGTGGCCAGTGAGGCCCATCGTGGCCCCTCCGTGTGACTGGGAGCACGATTCCCCACTGGCACCTTGGTGTCTCCCCAAAGTCCAAGCGCCATGAGACCGAGGCGTTTTGTCCCCACGCCTCGTGGCAAGCCGGTGTGCACAGATGTGAGTGGCCATGGCCGCCGGCCCCCCCAATCAGTTCCTTTTTTTTGCGTCCACTCACCTGCCTCCTCGCCATCTGCCGCTGCCTCGCTTTCTGCATCATGTCCCCTTCCCGCTGCGTCCCCATGGGCGGTCTCGGCCTCGGACAGCCTCCCCCTGCACCTGCACCCCTGCCCCGCCCCTGCCACCAGCAAGTAGGCACCGACGGCCCGAAGACCGCATGGCGGCTGGCTGGAGGGGAGAGGGTACTTCCGGCCTGTGTGGACACACCGGTTTCCTTCTCCGGAGTCCTGGCGGTGCCGCGTCGTGCTCACGCTGCCAGCTCGCTCTGTCTGAAGGTTCTGGTAACCTGTGGCGTATTTCTCTGTTTCCCTGTGACTTTGGTTTCTCCCTCCCCTTGGCCTTCCCACGCCTCCCCTTGCTGTGCACAGAGCACACGTCACCTCCGAACTCCTAAGTATGATCTGTGGAGGGTGTAGAGTCGGACACGTCAATAAATGCTTTAACTTCCCCCGAGGCTCCTGTGTCATTGACCACCGGTGTGCTCCGATCACGTCCTGTCCTGCCTCCGGGAGGACACGGTCCATCCTCAGGCCGCCCAGCCACGCTGCAGGACTGGCAGCGCGGTGCAGCTCGAGTGCTCGGTCTTCATTTTTCATTAAAACATAACGGAAGACAGAAAGGCTGCCTAGAGCCTTTGCCTAGCAAGATTTAACTTAGGCTACTGGTATTAGGGGACTTTAAACAAGTTTCTTCAGAAGGTGCACGTGCTTGCTGGAGAGAGGACGAGTGAGAAGCACCCCTTGTGGGGCACGGTCACGCTGTGGTCCCTTCTCCATTTCTCCCTCCTGCCAGGACTTTGGGCATACGCGTTCCCGGTGTGGTTTTCAAACCATTGGGCCCAGGACTTGAAATTGCGGTGTTGGCCATGTGAGATCAGCTGCCTTAAACCCCAGGCTACCACTCTACCACTAGGCCCAAAACTTCCTGAGAAAAAAATTCTTTGAAGAAATGTTTGTAGCCTCCATTTCTGGGCTTCCATAATCTCCCACAAGGCTGCTGTCTTCTCTGGCAGGGGCGGTTGGTTGGCTGACGGCTGCTGCCCGTGGGCTTGGTGCTGGGGCTGTTGCACTAGGATGGGAGCTCAGGCCGGGCTGCGTGCAGGAGGGTCGTGCGGGCCGGTCCTGGCCTGTGCACGCAGCCCATGGGGAGCAGTTCTCGAGGGAATGTGGCGTGGGGCTGTGGGTCAGTGAGCACTGTGTGCACACCTCCAGGAGGGCACCCCTTGAGGGCACACCCCCACAAACACACCCCACCAGGGCACTCCCCGAGGGCACACCCTATGAGGGCACTGCTCCCCGAGGGCACCCCCCAGGCACTCCCTGAGGGCACACCCCCTCCCCTCCAGGGCCCTCCCTGAGGGCACGGGCGTGGGTGGCTCCTGCTTCTCCGACCAGGAAGCAGCTTGGGCTGGGCCGGCAGAGCTGGCCGGTTCTTCATGACCACCGGCCTCTCCGGCCTGGAAGGCTGGGACACGGCACTCTTGGCTCTTTTTTTTTGGAGAGATTTTCACTGTAGGGCGCATGCGCTCGCCAGACAGACAGAGAGAGACATAGAGACAGAAAGCGAGAAATCACCCCCCAGGGGGCATGGTCACGCCGCAGTCCCTTCTCCATTCTCCTCTCGGGATCCTGGGCACGCACGCACACGTGCCCGGCGTAAGTTTTAAGCCACCGGGTCCGGGACGCGAACCGCGGTCGACTACATGGGAGTCCAGCAACATAGCCATTACGCTAACTGCTGGTTCCCTTGGCTCTTTTTGAAGCCAGTTTGCAAGGGTGCTCCAAAGCACGCTTTGCCCTGACCCTCTGCCGTTGTGGAGGGAAAGTGGGTTTACCTGCAGAGCCGCATCGTCTGTCCGCCCTGCCACTCGCCAGTGCTTTGCTGACCGCCCTCGCCCAGGAGGTGGCCTGGCATCCTGTCTTCAGAACCATGTCCTCCGGGCCTCCCACCAGGAAGGAGGGGAGCCCAGATGGGAGCCCAGTTCTGTCCCAAAGGCGTGCGGTAGTCCTGGAGGACAGTGGACGTTGGGGCCGCCCAGAAACTGGTGCCTACCCGCTGGCTAGCGTTGGCTTTCATCTGCTGCCAGCTCCTGACGGGCGAGGAGGGGCTGAGGGCTGGGCAGGTTGCCGTGGTTTCCCCTTTCATGTTCATTTCCCAAACCGGGTCAGTGCAGACACAGCCGGGCTGGGCAGGCCAGAGGGGCCCGGGCAGCCCCCACCGGGCCCGCTTTCCACTCAGCAGGGTGTGGTGCCCTCTAGCCACGTGCCCCTTAGACTAGGCTCAGCCATATACTGATTAAGCCCTTTCGTTTTGTAAGGAAACACCCACAGAGACGCATGTGGGGCAGGGACTGGCCGGCCAGCCTCTCCCTGGGCCAGCCCCTCTCCCTGGTGGTACGGCCGCCGAGCCGGGGACTGAGAAACTTACTCATCTCTGGTTTCTGCCTCTGACTCAGCCTTGACCTCTGGGGAACGTGGCCCTGCCCACCTGGCCCTCAGCCTCAGGTGCAGGTGGCTGGCAACTGTCTCAGGTGCGAAGGTCCTCCTACCTGCCCGTCTGCTCCCAGGTGCACGCAGAGCCCCAGTGGGGCCAAGCCTGCCCCGTGTCCGTGTGAGCCGCTCTGGTTTCAGCCACCGTGACGGCCGGTTCTCTCACTCTACAGGTGTGGACTGGGACCCAGGATGCTGCTGAGCTTAGGGGAGGCCAGGGGTCCGCAGGCCTAGGAACGGTCCACTTAACGTTGCTCACGAGGGGTCAGGGACGTGGGCAGGATGGGAGAAGGCATCAGAAAGCCCATGGTGGCCTCTCATTTCACAGTCGAACCGAGGCCACCCTGAGGTGAGGCGGTCACTCGTGGCAGAGCCGGGCTGTCGTGAGGAGTGGCCCTTCCTCTGGAGTGTCCCTTTGCAGCAGAGGGGCCATGTCTTGTCCTGTTCCCTACTACTGTCTGAGGGGAAGTCGCATCTGTCTTCAGTGGGCACTTCTTTTTGACAGGCCCTAGGGATCACAGGCTGGTAGACTGGGGCTGGTGACACAAGTTGTTTTTACCTAGAATTCTTGGAGTAGACCGGCAAGACTTCTGAAGGAAATTCAGGAATTCTGTGGCCAAGAAAGTCCAGATGGTGTAGAACTTAAAACACTGAAGTCAATGTCTCTCTTTAAGTTGCTGGAAGGTGTGCATCTCAGCAGAGGGAGTGGGAGAAAGCACCCCGGGGCGTGGTCGTGCTTCAATCTCTTCATTTCTCCATCTTGCCGGGATTTGGGGCATGCATGCACAGGTGCCCCCACTTGTTTCTCAAGCTTCCAGGGCCGGGTTTTGAACTGCAGGCAGCCATGTGAAGGGTCCAGGTCCTGTAGGAGCTGTGAGGCCCACACATCTCTTTCTCTCTCTTTTTTAAAGTTTGTTTCTTGCATGAGAAAGAGAAAAGCCTCCTGACAGGGCTCGCACACCACAACCCTCCCCCAGCCTCAGCCAGCCAGGCTCGTGGGCCTCTGCACTTGCCCAGTGTGTACCTGGAGCCCTGAGACACAAATCAGGGCCTGTCCACACGGCTTCCACATCGCGGTATCCTGCGCCGCCGTGGCTGGCCCAGCGCCTTCCCGATTAGAACAGTGTTTCCGTCACCTTAGCGTGCATCATGTATATATGCATGTACAAATACATACATGCACTTGAATTGTGTAGTTCCTGTTTAACCACACACTTCTATTGTCAAAATAGGAAAGCACAAATGAGATGAGTTTTCCAAAACCTTTTTGGAGCCAATAAAATATTGTTAGTTTTGGTGCAAAGTACTCTCATTTCTTTCTAAACTGTAGGCCACAGTTGGCTCAGCTGTCCCCAGCTTTTGCCCACTGTCCTTGTCCCCGATGCAGCATTCTGGGTAACCACTGCATCTCTAGGTTCTGCCTGACCTTGGCAGCTGCGGCTCAGACTTCCCTGGTCGTAAGGATCCCAACAGTTTTGAGGACTGACCAGGTGTTTTATAGGCTGTATCTTGTGATTAGACCCTGGGGCTGTGTCATTAAGGGGAAGACCTTGGAGGTGGAGTGTCCTCTATCAGACTGAGGGCACATGCTGTCATGACTCCTCCCTGTTGAGGTTGACCTTGACCCTGCGGAGGTGGTCCTTACCGAAGGCTCTCTCCCCCTCCCTTAGCGTGCCCTCCTTGGAAGGGTGTCACTGTACACGACTCTTTCAGAGGAGGGACTGTGCTCTCGTATTTTTATTTTTAAGTACCGATAGGAGTAAGGTCTGGCTGTAGGTCAGTTTGTTACCGGACTGTGTCTGATGGCTGTCAGCCCCGGGAGTCCTCCGTGGTTTGGTGCTGTGCTGTGTGTGCTCGTATACCCTGGACACTTGATATGAGCAGTTTATTGTATGTCAATTCTTCCTCAATAAAGCAATGCAAAAATCCAGGGACTGCCCCACCTTGGTGGCACAGAGGAAATGAACAGGGCAGTGCTGGAAGCCACACGGAAGATCAGGGTTTTGTTCCTGGGTCGACTCGCACATAGCAGCACGCATTGCAGGTGCCCATGATCCTGGTTGGC